GGACGGGCGGGGGTCTCACGTGCGCGCGGCCGTGGCTCTCCAGCAGCCCGGGTAGCAGGGGCAACAGCAGCGTAAAGGCCAAGAGGTCCAGCAGCAGGCCCAGGAAGAGCACGACCACCACGCGGCGTTCGGGCGCGGGCCGCCGGCGGATGGGCGGGCGCGGGGTGCAGCTGGAGTCCGCTCCCCACCCCATGGCGCACCGGGCCTGCTGCACCCACCACCGAGGCAGAAGGGCGCGCGGAAACGGACGCGGGACACCGCCCAGGCCCCGCCCCTTCCGGCGGCAGGACGCTCCGCCCCCACCGCGCTGCAGCCAGGGTTCTGGGGTGACTCTGGGCGTTTTTGCGCATTGCACAGCGGGACAGCACCAGTGGCTTGGTCCTGTTTCTCGCCGGCCCTCCCGGATGGGGCAGCCGGGCCAACATCCAGAGCTCACTCAGCTTACAGGGGATGGACTGGAGGCTGTCCAAGGGTCCCGTCTGCGCTTAGGTGGCCGCAAAGAAGGGACCAGCCTGCTCTTCTGGATGTCGCACACCTGGCAAGCCTCCCAGAAGGATCCCAGGTAGCCTGCGTGGGGTCCCCCTGGCCCGCGCCTCACGGGACCGCCTTCCCTCCTGCCAGCCCACAGTGTTCTTGACAATTTTGGCTTGAGCCTGGCATGCCACTGAAGCCAGATTTAAAGATAGGTAGGTAGTTAGGTAAATCGGGTCTAATAAGGATAACAGAATGGAGCCCAGGAAAGCAGAGGAGCACTTGGGAAATTGAAATGTTAATGAAGCAGCACCCAGCAAACATGGAGACGCCAATCCAAAAGGCCTTCCTTCCCAGATTACTCCTTAGGCCCACTTGTCCCCCACCCTCTGGGCCTTCCCACCTACATTCCATGACTGAAAGATAACAGAACAGAGGACAGGAAAGTGGGAAAGGTGAAAGATCTTAGTTATAAAAAGGGGAAGTCATCCGCCCTTCCAAGGATTCCACCTCTAGGGTCCCTTTCTTCCTCCAGGGAGAAAAGTCTTTTCTGCTGTCCTTTAATAAAGCCTTCTCTGGTGCTATACTTCAGCATTGGGGAAGCAAGGTAAACACGGGTAAACAGTGGTAACACCCCCTGTTGTCCTGTGCACTCCATTCTGAGCCCCAGACCTGCCAGTCCAACAGTGGCCCTGACACTACATCTTTGTGGTCTCAACGGCACTCCACAAGTGTTCATTCTGGGTCCCAACCGTGGCCACCTCTTTGGTGAGATGTCACATTGCACTAGAGAAGTCAGAAATCAAGGTGACAACAACTCATGTGGACACAATAATCCAGCTGTGTTCAGTCATGTTCTGCTCAGCAGTGAACTTGTGACGAGATGTGTAGCTGGCCTGTTGTGCAGACGTCACAGAGTCCTTCAGTTAGGACATCAAACAACACTAGGCAGTGTCCTCTCATGGGACCACCATCCTGAAGTGAAATACTGTCCGGCACAGTGAGTGGCAGATCCCAGTGACTCAGGAGGCCGAAGCAGGAGGATAGAAAGTACAGACCAGCCCCAGCAATTTAGCAAGGTCTGAAAAGGGATGGGGTAGTTCAGTGTCCCTGGGTTCACTGCACAGAATGGCTACAGTTTATCAGCACAAAACTCACACAGAGGATTGTTCCTAAAGTATGTTTTGGAATTCATTCTATCTCATCACGATGTTTTAAAAGGAACTCAAAACCTAGGGAGACCCAGGCTGACGTAGCACCCCTTCTTACTTTCATTACACAATACAACCTCGCCTCATTTACAAAATAATTTATTTTTTGAACTTCTTCCTCTTGAGAGCTTTCCATTCACCCTCCTGTGTAGCCAAGCTGTTAAAAAGCTGCTTCACTCTCCGCTTTCTTTCTGCATCCCTATAAAAGAAGCAAGTGCCCATTTTTGGAGGAAGTCTTGTGACCCAATAACAGCTCAAAACGACACCAGCTACCAAGTCCAACCCAAAGGGAGAGAAACAGGGGGGAGGGTTGGGGGATGAAATTGCTCAGCCCTGTAGAGGCTGCTGCATACCAGTGTCTGCAATCCTGGTGCCAGAGACCAGGGGCCTGGGAGTGCTGCAGTCTCGACAGGGTCCTCCTCCCACCACAGGGTCTTTACCTTTCCATGATCTCTGAGAGCTGCATCCTAGCCAGGAACTGATTGTCCTTGCGGATTTCTCGGACGGCACCCTTGAATTCCCGTTTATGTTTGTGGATCAGCCTCTTCCTTTCCTGTTCTTCCTTACTGCCGCCTTGTTTCCTTCCAAATTCCAGGCTGAAATTGGAAAGCCAAAAGCATTATGGGGGCAACCTCTCAGCCAGAGCCCAGTGCCCTGGCCCCCCCACTCACACTTTGACCAGCCGAGGGGTGAACAGCTTTAGCGGGACTGGCTTGCTCTTCTCACACAGCAGTGGCCGGTAGAGCTGCTTTTGGCTTTCCACCTCTGCCAGTGTGCTTTGAAACAGCTCCTGAAAAAACATGAAGCAGCTGTCCTGGGGCTACCTGTCTGAAGTTCGCCCTCACAGAGTCTATGGGGTCCACAGCCAAGGCAACATGGAGACAGCCCAGCGGCCTCAGCAGCCAGCCTGACCCCAGTAGGTAATTGAAGGGTGGTGGCTGCTCCAAGGGCAGCACAGCAGTGAGAGGAGGAGCCTCCTTCAAGGAGGAAGGAGACCATGTGCAATGGGACTGGCCACCCTGGCTCAAATAAAAGGCTCTACTTAGGCAGTGAGAAGCCATGATATCCATGCTTCTATTATGAAACTTAACAGAATCTCTTCTTCCTAGAGAAATGTGCTATCGACACACTTTCCATGGAAGTGCAAGGAGCACCACCTCTACTGAGATGGTCTTGGTGCCTGGAGGAAGGTGCTATGGGGCAGCTGGTGGAGCCACACAAGGGGACAGGTGAGGCTGCTGGGCCTTATCTTCACCAGCACCACGGCTAGGACGCTTCAACTGAGTGCTGAGAGGCCACTGTGGGCTTCTGAGGAATCTCCTACAGGCAGCTCGCTGATGCTGGTCCTACACAGGTATGTTCTGGAGCCGGGGCTGCTTGGCTTCCTGTGCCCATAGCATGGCCATTTCTTAGCCCAACCGGATGTAACCTGAGTGCCTAGAAACCTACATATCCCATCACGCACTCTTGGCTAGCCCAAATTCTGTAAGACCAGGAGATAAAATTCTCTGTCATTTAAACATAAACACAGCCATGTCCACAGTAAGTGGGTGCAGGTACAAACATCTCGTCCTCATCTGCATTTGACAAGTTGTCATGACTTTGAGGATGGTGACATGGTTTGCTCTCGGCTCTCGAGACTGGGCCAGGATTAGGACAGCCAAGCCACTGTCCTAGAGGGACAGAGATGATGGGGCAAGCACTCAGGGGTGGTCACACTGAGGGCAAGAGGCCCAGGAAGCACAGTGGTGATGTGGGGAGGCCTGGTGGACAGCCACACAGTTCTAAGGAGAGTTCCAGGCAAAGACCAGATAGGAGGATCCCAGGGCTTCTGAGGCTGAGCCTGTGAGGTAGGAGCACACGAGAGCACAGGCAGACTGCCAGGCTAGGAGGCACCACACTGCAGCGCCCAATGCCGTGGTCAGCACTTGCCTGTTTTTGTTTGTTTAATATTTTTTAGCTGTACTTGGACATAATACCTTTATTTTATTTATTTGTATGTGGTGCTGGGGATCGAACCCAGGGCCTCACCTGTGCTACCACTGAGCCCCAGCCCTAGCCCTTGCCTCTGTTCTTAATGAAAAGGGAATGCAGTGGAGGGCCAGGGCTCAGAGTGTGACTGGCACCTCCTCCTCCAGTGACCCCCTGGGCCAGTGCAGAAGAGCCTGTGCTGTGGGCAGCAGCAGGTGGGGCGCAGGGCATGGATGCACTGGAGGGTCTGTGGTGACGAGGCCCAAGTCCATGGAGCCAGCCCTCAGGGCTGTGCAGAACAGAGGGACCACCCCAAGAACCCATTGGGTAGCTGCAGAGTTGAGGTGCTCCTTGTGCTGCAGACCCAGCTGCAGGCCCCACCTGGGCTCAGTGGTCTTTCAGTGCAGCTCCCTGCAGGTTCCGCCCAGTAACGGCATGGATCCAGACTTTGCTTGAATCCAGCCCAGTGGTGCTCAGAGACCAGGGACAGTACGATATCATTTCCCATTCCTGTTTGATTTTGTAAAGATGAAGTCCTTAGCTTAAATAGCAACTTCAAGGACAATTATGCCCCATTGACCCACTGCTGGCTCATCAACACCTCAAGGATCAGGAAATCGTACCTGGAGCTCGTGGGGGTGGCTGCAACGCGTCAGGTGCTCTGTCAGGAGGGCCCGGAAGGGCCTGATGATGGCATGGAAGGACGGCAGTGTGCCATACATGAGGACGCAGTGCTTTAGCAGGGCCAGACACACAGCCAGGCAGGACAGTCTGTAGGAACAGGAGACAAAGGCAGGACATCCATTTGTTCCATGACAGCCAGTGACTGGGAAACCAGTACCCTGGGTGAGAAGGTCACCCCATCTGTGCTACCGAGAAGTCATGTGAGGGCCCTCAGCTCACATGTTCCTGGGGGCACCCAGGAACAGCTGTCTCCTTCCCACGCAGGAAGGAGGGCTGTGGGGGAGACACTGCCAGCTGGAAAGGACGGCTCCCTTCACTTCCCAGGTTAACACTGAAACTGAGCAGGTATGACTCGAAAAAAATCCACATTTTTAGGAAACTTTTTAGACATCAACCCAAAGGGCATGAGAAATACACCAGCTAAAAACACACTTTCAGGTGGTGAGTGAAAAGTGCCCATGTCTTTCACCCTCCTGGGGTGCTGTCTGATATACCTGGCGTGGGTGGCCTCAGCTGCAGTCGGGGAGCTCGGCCCACTTGCCCAGCGCAGGGGGAGGCTTCCCCTCTGCCAGGTGGCCACATCTTCTGCTTCAGAGACCAAGAGCAATTCGGAATTCTTCCCAAGTGCTCTGAAAGGATGCACCAGAGTAGAACCTGAATTCCAAGCATGACAGAGATGATGGGATGTTACTGACTACAGGTTGAGCCTGTAGCACCTCTGCCCCCAGGCTCCCTGGGTGGTGCCAAACCTGTAGTCAACTCAAGGAGGCAGACAGCATGGGTACAATGCTGCCCTGGCAGAAGCTTTGGCAGGGGGTGGTCAGAGACATACCTGAACCCTGTCTTGGAGGCTTGCTGGCAATAGACTTCCTGTGGACCTACTATGTGTGGTATCAGAGGCTCTAGGCCTTGACCAAAGCCTTGGGAGACACAATAAAACCCACAGAAAGAAACGAACTAAGTAGGAAAAGGAAGAGTGAAAGAGATGGCCAGGAGGAGAGGACAAGGTCAGGCAGTTTTCAAGTCTGGAGGAGGGATGTCAGCAGAGACCCAGAGGGTGTGCAGCAGTTAACCTGCCCACCACCTGGAAACACAGATGCTGGGGGCGGGGGCAGACTGCTGCGGAGACCTGAGTAGGGCTGAGCAGAGGCAGCTGGGCAGATGGTTGGACTGCTGTCAATTGCCCCAGGCCAGGCCAGCTGCGCTTTCCGCCACCATTGCACGCTTCCCAATCCCACTGCATGGCCCCGGGGTAGTTCCTGTAGCTCTTTCCAGCAGAAGTGCTGTCGTCTACCCTGCATTCCCCTTTTGGGGATCACGTGGATGGCTGTGCCTCTTTGCCAACACTGAGCAGGACACACATGTGCCAGCAATGGCCACCAGTGCCACCAGGGACCAAGGAAGCCACATGCAGGAAAGTCCTGTCATGGAAGAAAAGCTGAGGGGCAGGCAGTAGGAATGGAGTCCTGATTGAGGAACTGCCTAGATACCGCTTCAAAAGAGCTCCTACCCAGGCCCTGCACAGGCAGCTCTGCTCTCTGCTAGCCTCTGGGCATGAAGCAAGTGAGATGAGGCCAGAGCCCTAAGTCTGGAAAAGATCCAGATGGGACAGAGACCAAGCACCCATCACAGTTCCAGGGAGGAAGCTGAGTGAGAAGTTTGCAGAAGGAAGAGTCTGCGTGAGGAAGCCCTGACCAGTAAAGGGCACTGAGCCAGGACCAGGTTCAGAAGATCAGCCAGTGATCACAACCCTGCTTCACTACTGCGGGCTAAGTGACCTAACATAGGACAAAAGAAGAGCAGGGTGCGGGGAGGCTAAGGCAGGAGGACTAGTTTTGAGCTCAAGAGATCAGGGCCAGCCTGGGCAATATCCTGACACAAAAACCAAACCAAACCACCATGCACCAGGCCCCGGGCTCCCTCCCATGTACAACTAACCTCCCAAATTAAATTAAGACCGATATTCTGTTTTGTGTGTGTGTGTGGAGCTGGGAGTGCACCCAGGCCCTTGCATGCTGGGCAAGCACTCTACCACGGGGCCACATTCCCAGCACCGTTTCTTTTCACAATATTATTTCAATGCCTAAGAGAGAAGTGTGTCAAGATTTTTATGTATATTTCTTGACACTGAGCCCTGGCTGCATGGTGTCCTCTTCATAGTCTCTGCTCAGACTTGCACGTGTGACCTCAGGCCTGGAAATCACGTTCCCTCAGCAGCAAGCTGAGTGTAGGTGGGTGTGGGTGTGGGTGTGTGCACATGCACACTCAGAGGACAACATGCTGCTCTGGGTGACAAGACTGCAGCAGTGTTTGTTTTTGTCTCTGGGAAATTACTCTTTACAATACATGTCAAGGAAGTTCCTACACACCAACTCACCTTGGCTTTGTGTGTTTGGAGTCGCTATGTAGAGAATCCCAAGAAGAAAATTAATAACCTCAGGTACGAATCTGTGAGACAGAGCCACAAACTCCAGAAACAAGCAGCACACAAAGAGGCCTTTCACCACGTCTTGAAGCGAGAGCACAGGGCACTGGAAAGGAAGCCACAGGGGAGCTGGTGCTCTGGACTCATGTTCTGGGAACTGTGTGAGGCAGACACCTGGATGCCCAGGGGAGCTGTGCTCTAAGCCTCACCCAGAGCAAGTCCTGCATCCCGACAATGACCCCTGCAGATGACACAGCCTTACCCACGTGTAAGGCAGGATCACTGCAGTCTGTGTGGGCCAACTGTATGCCTCACAAAGGGAACTAATTTGAAATCCATACCCCCAAAGGGAACAAAAGCCCCTATCAGATTGATTTGCCAGCTCCTTCCTGGGGACACATCCTCCACTAACCATGAACCTCTACACCAGACTCCCATACCCCGCCCATCCAGGGAAACGCTCAAGGGTGCTGCGCACCTTGTCTGCCAGACTCTGACCTCTTACTTCTCACAGGTCCTAAAGACAAGTGGGCTTTGGCCTGATCTCACGGTCAGTATCCCTGAACCTCAGCCATGCTCCTTTCAACATGGCCCTGAGATGTGCTGGGAAGAGGAGACACACCTTCGTGAGCAGCTGGCTCAGGCACACGAGGGCAGGGGTCACAACTGGGTGCCGGAAGTCAGAGGTCGGAAACAACATCCCAGCAATCTTCAAATAAATGAGCTGGAGAGAGAGATTGCCACAGATTACAAAAGGAAATGAAGCTCAACTAAAGCACACTCTTGCAAGGGGCCCAGGAGCAGAGCTGGTTTAAAGTCCTGGTGAAACAGCCGGCATCAGTGGGCGCCATGCTCCCCCTCACCTAGGTCTTCTGAAAACATCACCCAGAGAAAGCACGTGAACTGCTGAGCATGACAAGGTTCTTTAGAACAGGCAGTTACTTTCAGTAGGTCCAATCCCAGAGCAGCAGCTTCCACAAGGAGCCTGCCACCAGCAGCAGATGGGGGTACTCAGGGGCAGCTGCCAGGGACCCACGTTAGAGCTGGAGGAGTCTGAAGTGGCCTTCATACAGCAGCAGGGAACCTTCCACCCACACTGGTGAAGATGCCTTCTCCCTGGCCCAAGGCACCGCTTCATTGGTTTGTTTTCATTACAAAAACATACAACAGTTCTGGGTGACATGCAACCTCTAAAACCAGCACTTCCGGAAAGCTGGCGAGGCTCCATTTCCCATCTCGGGTGGTTGCAAGGGCAACGAGCCCAGCAGCAGCACATCAGAGGGGCCGCATCACCTCTGCAAGGTGGCTCAGGTCAAGGCTCCAGGAAACAGGACAGCACTGCCCAGCCCACTGTAGCCTCAGGCCAGGGCCTGTCACAGGTGTGGTGAGGATTCCACTGGTTAGGAAGGGAAGCTCTCTCATGCCGAAACCTTGATATCTCCACCAGTTACTGTAACGTGAAAGCTAGAGTAAAAGGCCACATCCCTGAGGAAGAGGGAGACCTGCCGTCTCCAGGACAGGAAGCTGCCTCAACTGAATTTCCCCAGGGCCACGTCAACACTCATCCATGTAGCTGTTCTCTTTAATGATGGCAGCCAGTTATGCTCGCAGGACACCTATGTGTAAGTCAGATGTGGGGGGCGACAGGTGACACTGACGGAGAAGGGTGGCTGGCAGATTAACTGCCCTGTCTGGACTCTGCAGCATCTCAAGAATGCCCTGCTTGACCAGGGGCACCAAGAAATCCCCCAAAGTACCCACAACTGTGTGGCTCTGACCCATGTGAATTTAAAAATAGCAGACACATGCCAGCAGGCTCCATTTCCTCCTTTCTGGTGGTGACAGGGACTTACTACAGAGCTGTAAGAGGGTGTCCCTACCTTAATTTGGGGGTTCTAAGGAAAATGAGGCCCAGGGAGAGGTCTGAAGGGAGCTCTTGCCAGTGTCCCGCATCCTGCCCCAGACAATTTGACCCAGGGTGCTAGCCACTGAGCCACATGCCCTTTCCTATTTCATTTGGAAACAGGGTATCACTGTTTCCTAAGCTCCTTGAACCCGAGACCTTCTTGCCTCCACCTCGGGAGCTGCTAAGATTGAGAGTGTCTGCCACTGCAACTCCGCATTTCTTCTTCAAAGATACTAAGTGTCACATAAGGCTGTTACAAATAGTCAGGGGTCTCTAGGAAAACACAATGCTTCTGTGAGTCTTAAAGCATCTTTGCCATTAAGACCAGACACAGCCAGGCACAGTAGCATACAACCTGTAATCCCAATGAATTAGGAGGCTGAGGCAAGAGGCTCACATGTCTGAAGCCAGCCTCAGCAACTTAGACCCTGTTTCAAGATAAAAATCTAAAAAGGCTGGGGATGTAGTTCAACGGGAAAGTTCCTGATTTCAATCCCTAGTACCCACCCCACCAAAAAAAAAAAAAAAAAAAAGTCAGATATAGCCCTGTCCATATGGAATCAAACCAGAATCTCTATCAGCAACTTCAGTTAACTGTCCTCTCAGGTCTGTTGCAGTCCTCTCCCCACCAGTCTGGAAGCTCTAGGGCACAACCAGCCTCTCAATGCAAAGACACATGCACCCTCCCGGTCCTTGATACCACACTGAACCCGATTCTCATGGCTCAGGACCATGCCCACAGACCCCGCATCGCTTACCACATCCAACCCTGGGAACACTGCACGGCCCTTGGTCTCAATCATTTCTTCCATCTCATGCATGGCATCTCGAAGAACAAATTTTATAGAGTTGCTTGCAGACTCAGGAAACATCTGGCAAAGATTATATAACTGCCTATGAAGCAGAAATTTAAGTCAGGAGAGGACTCTGGACAATAAAACACAGAAAACTCTTGGAAACTCGTTCTGTGCAGTCACCTGCTAATTGTTCAAGTCAGAAAGGGAAGCCTCTGGATGAACCCTTTGAACTCGCTGGCAACCCTCACACGCCAAGGGCCTGACCTCCATGCAATGCCCCAGTCTGAGTGACTCACTCTTTTCCTACTGCTGTCTGCTGAGCTCTCTGATGACCCAGGTAAGTTTTCTTTTTCGGGGGCGGGGAGAGGTACTGGAGATTGAACTCAGGGCCCAGTGCATGCTAGACAAATGCTCTACCACTGATCCACATCCGAAGCACTTTATATTTTGAAACAGGGCCTCACTAAAATTACTGAGGCTGATCTCAATTTGCAACCCTCTTGCCTCAGTCTCCAAGTAGTTGGAATTACAGGCATGTGCCACCACTCCTGGCTCCAAATAATTTCTAATGGTGTTTTATGATAATCACTGTACTTAAAACTTGCTATTTCCTAACAATCTGGTGATGACCTTTGAGTGGAAACATTACTATTGGGCACATTCTATGTGCCAGCTATGGTACTTTACACATTAGCTCATTTATTCCTTGCAAATGCTTTGTTAAGACCATCCTTCTGTGTGTGCCAGCAGTACTGGAAGCCAGAGGCCACCGTGAGCGCCACAAGCTTCTAGTGGAATAAGGGTCAGAGCCCACCCATACCATCCCTTTGTAGGACACAAGAGTGCTTTCCTAGCAGGAGATCACCAGCTCAAGTAGAGCCAGTCTTGTCAGGATCCACAGAGGTGGTGATGGACCTGGCCCACAGGGCTCAAGTTCCAGTAGTGACAATGGGATTCTCTACCATGCATTCCAAATACTTCCCAATCCCCCAGAGCTCCATTGGGAAACTAGGTACTCCTACTATAAGTGAGTCTGAGGGATTCATTTTTTAAAAAACAAGGTCCCATCTCTGTGGGGCTGGGAGCAGCATGAGCCAGAGTGAGAAGGTGTCACTGTTACTGCCATGGGTTTGTTTTGTGAGTCCTGTTCACAAGCTCTGGGGACAGTACACCTACCTGCTATGGTCACGTCACCAGACTGCCTTACTGATTTCAAAATGTGTATTTATGACCTAACTGGGAGAAACATTGCCAGTTCAGCCTCATATCCTTAGGAACATAAACAGTTTTTACTTACACCACCAACTTATCAATTACTTTGAGGTCTGGTGGATCATTTGTAGCCAAATCTCCAATGTATTCCAAAAGGAAGCCGAACAGTTTCTGTAGGAACATGAATTAGGAAGAGAGCTTAGTGCTAAGCACCCAAGATCGGAATCTCAGGCATGTAACTTCTGTTTTCTAGTGTGGCAAAGGAGGTGGGTCAAGGGACCCTGCCACAGACATGGGACCTGTGCAAAATGCAGAGGCTCAGCTGGAGCACAGGGACACTGGGAGGTGTCCAAGGACCAGGTGGCACTTGCAGACAGAGACACTGGTCACCAAAACTAACAGGGTGACACGTATCACCTATGGAGCAAGGGGGAGGGACATGTGCTGTTGTCTCAGTAGGCAGAGCCATGGGATTGCTGTGAGCCATTTGCTCTCAAGTGAAAGGAAGGGCCTGTGCCAGGTTTAAGGGAGGTGCCCAGTGCCCAGGGGTGATTCTGTTGTGAGGCCTGCTCACAAGCTCTGGGGGACAGTCATGTGCTCCCCAGCAGGAGGCACCCTTCATATGTGTAACCTCAGCAATCCTGAGGCTCCGACTGGGGGCCTGATCCTGCTCCTGATACTCAGCACCTCATCATTCCAACGTACTTCTAATTTCTCCTTGTTCCCCACTGCAAGACTTGGATGGTTGCATTTCTGAATTCGTTCCACCACCAAAAGCTGCTCTTCCATCGATCTTCCTGATAATGCAGATCTCAGCTCCTCATAGGACTCAGGAGCTACCGAACCCAAACATACTTACATTTAAAATGAGCATGGCTCCCCCTGTGCTGACACAGGGGGACAATGGCCACAACAAGCAAGGCTCCCTGCTTTAACAGAAGAGGTTAAGACACATCATACACGTGCTTTTGTTCACAAACACATCCAACGTAGCGGACACCTAGCTGAACTGGGCTATCTAGGGTTGACCATGCACCCGAGGACAGCCCCAGTGCATTTTTGGCCCACCACCCTTCCCTGAGTAGGACTTTGATTCAGTATCCACAACCCAGGGATCACTCAGTGTCAGTGTTAGTTTTACTGCCTCAATGCCCCAGATGAGCTGGAAGGAGACACAAGAGCTAAGCAATGCCACCACCCGAGACTCTCACCCATCAAGGTCACGTCCCTGGAGGTGAGCCTCACTGCTAGCTATCCTATGGAAAGAACCTCCAGTCACAGGATAACTCAGGGCTATTTACTTGAACTAGTTTTAGTGAACGTCAGACAAACCCCTGAAAGTTTAGGTAGAGGGTTATGTGGCTAAACAAGTGCTCAGGCCTGAACACAAGCCTCTGGGATCCACAGAGAGAATGTGAAGACACTAGGTGAAAAGGTGTGACTGCCTCATCTGCATACAGCCAGCCCACAGAAACTGCCTGGTGCAGACACAGCAGACTCCTGTGCACTCAAGCTGCACAGCTTAGCCAGGTCACAGAGGTTGTCCCTGGGTCCTAGAGAAGCAGCACCCTGCTACCTGCAAAGGTGTAGGGCAGCTCAGTTCTGGCAGCCTTTTGAGTGTTCTGGTCATCACTTCTCAGTCTCTTCCCAGGAGTCTGCCCTTGCGCTCTCGGTGGCTTCCCACTTTCCTCCTCACTCTCTGCATTCGAGTCCAGGTCTGAATGGCTGTCCGGGTCCCCCCTCTCCCCTTCGGCCTCCTCCTCGTCGCTCTCCTCTTCGCCTTCCTCCTCGTCGCTCCCTTGGATGCCAGCTTTCCCGCTTAGTTCTTTGTGGACATCCTCCTCAACGTTCATCTTTCCATCCTAGAAAGGGACCAGAGACCAGGAGCATCACTGCGCAAAGCACAGATTACACAACAGGTACAGTGTGTTCCTACCTGTCCGTCCCCTGAGCCTGGTCCTCCTTGCCCACCCCCATCTATGCTGTCAGACACAGGAGATGAAGGTTCTAGAATGATTTGGAGATGGTACATCTCTCCAGGGCTCCTGTGTTGGAATCTTCATCCTCAGTGTGGTGCTGTAAGAGGTGATGGATCTGCAAAAGGAGGGGCCTAGGGCTGGGGCTGAGTGGTAGAGTGCCTGCCTAGCATGCGCAAGGCCCTGGGTTCAATCCTCAGCACCACATAAAAATAGATATTGTGCCCACCTGCAACTAAAAAATATATTTAAAAAAAAAAGGTGGGGCTACTGGAAGTTCTTAGGTCAGGAAGGGCAGTGTCCTAGGAAAGGATTATGATAGTTTTCCTGGGACATCCTGGTGAGTTCTCAGGACAGTCTTTAAGAAACATGTGAACCTGGCCGCTCTCCCTCTCCTGACTTCTTGCCTGGTGACATGATCACTTTCTCTTGTCGATACTCAAACCACCATGATGCCTTCACTACAATTGAGAAGATGCTGTTGCCAAGCCTTTGAATGTCTATGACTGTGAGCTACGTAAACCTCTTTATAAAACCACTGAACCTTAAGTATTCCATTATAATAGCAAAAAAAAAAAAGGACTAATATAGGTTCCTAGTGAGTCCTGCCAAGACTGGGTCTATGTCTTGCCAGGGAGCTGTGCAGGAAGGTGTCCAGAAACCCCATTTCTGCTATTCCAGATAACCTTGGATTTTTTTTTGCCAGCACCAGTTTCCCGTCTTGGGCTCTTTTTTGTTCAAACAGAGCCTGTCTATATTTCTGCTTTCACCCTTGCTATACTCTAAAAGGACAAGTGAGTAGAGACCTTTCTCATTTTTGTGAATAAAAATATACCCGTCTTAGAAACTTGATTACTCAAAAATATTCAAGAGCCATAACCCCGCATTAGTTGCCTGTTTTGCCGAGATCCTGCAGCTAACCAGTTAAACTGTACGATGAGAAAGTGCTTATTGTAACAACTGAGGAAAGTGGCAAAGACAGTCCACGTGGCTCATCATCAGGCACCTTCTGCAGAGGGAGGGAAGCAGAGCACACACAGGCTCCTTTATGAAGTTCTGATACCTGAAACCCACCAGCACTCAGATGAAGAACTTTAGAGAAATGGTTTCAGATTTGCATTCTCATCTGTGATGAACTCCTTATGTTTTCAAATTAAAAGGAAAGAAAATGAAGCCAAATATCTTACTTTGTAAGAAAGCAGGCGCCTGTCATCTTTGTCCAGCACAAAGCCGTCATTTAAATCATCCGCTGACGTGTGGTTTGGATTCTTCATACTTTCATCCTCCTCCTTTCCAAGCATTCTTCGAAGTCTCTCAGCCTGACAGGAAGGAAAAGAGAAGCCACATGGTGTGAGCAAACACATGAAAAGAGAGTGTGTGTCCAGCTCCGGACCACAGGGCCTCCAGCCTGCCTTCTGCCATCTTCACTCAAAAAAGAAAGAGAGCACTGAGTGTTAAGTGGGAGACTTCCATATTTATCAGACTATTCAATCTTGGTAAATACTTTCCAGCCACAAGGAAGGAAAACCTATTCCTCTAAGATCTGACCCTAATGGAGCTCCACGGACTTTCTCTTTGCAACACAACCTGTGTTACATTAAAATGGCCAAGTGTAGAATAGTATGTCTCTATCTTATCTTTATTTAGCTGTAGTTTGACAGAATACCTTTTATTTTATTTACTTATTTTTAATGTGGTGTTGAGGATTGAACCCAGGGCCTTGTACATGCGAGGCAAGCACTCTAACGCTGAGCCACAAACCCTATCTTATGTTTGTTTAAATGGAACAACATTTAAAAATTTTTTAAGCTAGGTGCTGTGTCCTAGCAGCTTGGGAGGCTGAAACAAGAGGATCGCAAGTTCAAAGATAGCCTCAGCAACAAGCATGGCTCTAAGCAACTTAGTGAGGCCCTATCTAAATAAAATACAAAATAGGACTGGGGATGTGACTCAGTAGTCAAGTGCTCCTGAATTAAATCCCCAGACCCTACCCATCCAACCACCCAAAATTTTAATACACAGAATAAAACCCATAAAGCAATACAGTCAACTACATTGTTAGCAGATATTTTAACAAAGAGAAATTGTAAGGAATGTCCATTATTTTATTTGGTGTGCTTGGGTATTAAAGCATTTTATATTTTTGCTTTAGTAAATACAAACTTTAAACACACCATATCTGTAATCCATCTTTCAAGATAAAGCAGACAGGGCTATAAATGAAAGGCAGCAACTGAATCTTACAAACAGGAAACTGAGATTCCCCAGAGCCTGTCCATGCCTGCTGTGTAGCACGCAGGCCCCTGTACCTCCAGCTTCCTCAGCCGCTCTTGCTCCTCCTTTGCCAGCTCCTCCTCCGTTTTCATCCTATTAGACGGTTGTGCCTTCATTTCAAAGCCAAGCTCACGAACCATTATGTCATATGCATCAGGCTACAGTGGAGAGAAGACATTTTTTAACAGTTTAACAAAAAGAAAAGATCTTTGCTTTGCTTCCCGACACACTCTGCAAGGGCCACGCAGGGTACCATTATCTGAGCCTTGTCCTCTGCAGAGAAAGCGGTGCTACAGATGGCCACATGATGTTACCAAGCAAAATCCTAATATTTCCCTGGGAATCCAGCTGTTCAAACAAAGACACCATTTTCCAACAATTTAGACATAAAAAACAGCAGAGTGAAGCAACACTGTCCAGAAGAATTAAGTGTATATTAAAAGTGTATATTTAAAACATACCTCAGTGTAACACATGTGGAACAGGGAGGTTCAAACCCTACTGTCTCCACCCACAGCACTTCTCGCCAGAGAGGCATGCTAACCACCTCAAGCAGACACTGAAGTAGTGAGTCCTGAGTTGTTTCTAACCCAGCTCAGCACACATCTGGTAATTCAGCAGAGATGTGCAACTGAAAACCGGTCCCAACAGAGGAAGGCCAGGAAAACATCCTGGCCTCAGTTTCTTCTCCAAAGAAGAACCAAGTCAAAAATGTAAGTTCACTGCAGTTTTCAATCCCTTAATTCCTACCTTAGGTTTCTCTTTTTTCTCCTGCTTCTCTGATTTGGGAGTTTTGTGGGATAGCAGGGTCTGGATTTCTTTCCAGTCTTGGTCCAGCTTCTCCGTGAGCTCAAGGGCATCTTCTCGTTTCGCCTGTCTCTCTCTCTGGAAAAACAGACACACCCTATGTATTGTCAGTGCAGACACAAAAGCAGGCTCAGGGAGAGCCCTCCTCTCTGTAGCAGGGCTACAGGCTTCCCTGCTCACTTAGATGCTCTGGGCAGTCACTACAATATCATGTGCAGTGATAATCACTTTCACAAGCACACCCTGACATACATCCAACACCAAAGCCAACAACTACTGGTTGGAATTCTATGCTTGGTAAGATTAAAATGATTAAGATTAAAAAGATTAAAATTCCTCCCCCAAATGAATGCTCTTATTAAACCCAGAAATGCACAGGGAGAAAGAGTACAAGCTGGGCATTTCCCATACTGGAGCTACTCCACAGAAAGAGCACCAGCTACCCACCTTCTCTTGCTTTGACTTGACAATAAGCTCTTCAATCAGTTCTTTCCGTGACTTTGGTTTTGCCTCTTCCTTGCCTTCTTGCTGAGATATTTTCTTGTGAAGGAGTCCAACTCCGCCTCCAAAGTGGGCAGCAGTCAGCTCAGCTAGAGAGAAACACCAGAAAGCACCACCATAAAAATTGGGCCCTGGTTTGGTAAGCATTTTTTTTTAGCACTCTGCTCACCCTAAGTTGATGACCTAGCTTACTATTTCACTAAAAAATAGTCCGCGGACCACAGTCAACCAGAGTGGTGCTGGGTCCTAGGACTGTGACTCCTCCAGTTATCCAGAGCTGTTTGGGGTAACCCTCACCTCGACACTCGTCTCCCCCTTCTCAGATACCAAGCAAGCATGCCCGTCTCCCCTTCTGTAGGATCACTCTTTTATTGCCCCTACATTAGAACACTCAGCAAGCACTCTCGACCCCACCTCACTCCATGACCTCCTTCGACCCCACCTTACAATGCCCCCAGGATGCTGTGTCTACTCCATCTTGAATCTGACTCCTCTCCAGCTTTGCCCTGCCTTCTGAAATGGAATCCTGCTGATCTGTAGCCAGTACTTGACGCATCTTACTCTCCTCTGGGAAATGCTTTGTCTACATGGATTCTGGCTACCGCCCACCTGTGGCCTCTTGGTCTCCTATTCCTCAGCTCTTCAGGCTGCAGCTCCTGCCATCTCTATCCATTCTTGCTCTCTTGGTGGTTTCATATGGTCTCCATGCTGGCACCTCTCAGTTTGTGCCTTTACCTGTGTTCTCCCTGAGCTAGCCTCTAGCTGCCCTCTGGCACTGTCCCTTGTCTGTCTCACAGGCACGAAAACTCCCCCAGCTTATCTGTCCTAGTTTTCCCCATCTCCAAGAAAGGTAACAATTCCTCCTAGTTGCGTGGGCTGAATTCCTTGCAGCCACCCGAGTTCCTTTCCTCACACTATATCCAACGCACTAGTAAATCCTGTTGACCTGGTCCTATCAGACTCCATGGCACAGACATCTCTAAGGCTTCCTTTCTGAGTAAAAGCCAAGCTCCTCTCTGTGGCCAGAGGTCCTGTGTCTGTATGTTACCACTGCTTCCTGTGCTCTCGGCCAAGATCGCCCTGCTGCTCTGCCTCAGACACTCTGGACTCCCTGTTCCCTTTGTGGGGTGCTCTTGGCTTACAGGGCAACACCACATGTTCTCAGGGAGGCTGGTCATGACTTCCAAAGGTACATTCCAGCCCTTTCCTGGCTTCCTTTTTACTTTCCACTTTGTTAGATGGCATAATGTAGTGACATACTTTGCTTATTGTCTGGATCCCCAGCACAACAGGAGCCGCAAGAAGGCCCCTTCACAGCACAGTAGGTTCTGCCCCACAGGCTGCCTCAGTTCCTCAACCTTTCACCCCTGTATTATCCAGAAGCAAAAGGCAGCTTTGGGGAACAAGCTTTGCTGTCTCAGCTTTCCAGGCACTAAACACAACTGGGAGTCAGTTTTAGTTCTGTGTAGATTTCTTCTGAAGATGTTGGAAAATGGGATTTACCCTTCACTTATAAGGAATGTGAACAAGTTAATATCACGCCTGCAACTTTATAAACAGAACCCAAGATTATTAGACACCAGCCAAGTTTTCAACAGTGATAATCAAGGCCAAGATTTTCTCTATTTCAAGTTATTATCTACAGATAATATATCCTGCACAAAATGACTGTAACTGGTCCTGTAGGAAGACTAAAAGAAGTATGTACACACCATTGGTTCAAAAAGGTCAGGATTTATAAACAGCAGGCAACAAAGCACTGCAGTTTAGTGTAAAAGAGCTGTCTTGTGAGTCAGTGAGATCAGTTTCATTCACAGCTCTAATTCTATCTTAAATGGCGCATTTAAGCCATTGAAAATGGCTTTTTCAGCCTGTGTAAGCAGCTGTCTCCTACCTACCCACACTGTCCTCAAATTCTGAAACTTTTTTAGAAAAAGCTAAATGCAGAATTTACTGAGATGAAACGTGTGTGAAACAACTTTCTCTAGGTCTCTGAGAGGAGGCAGGACAAAGTCCAGTGAGCACTATCCCTTGCAACAAGGCCAAGGCTCGGGTGGCAGCACCTCTGACCTTACCAGACAGCGTTCCTCTTTCTTCATCATCACTGTCACTATCCACGATGTCGTTATGCTTTTCGATGTCTGCCAAAGACTGGCCATAATGGGTTAATTCTTCATCTTCATTTAGGTTGTAAATACTTTTTTTCTCATGATGTCGCTGACAAAAGTGCAGGGCAAATCAGTTTTCCAAAATTATCATTAATTTCTCAGCAAAAAAAAAAAATATTTTTCCATTATGTGTGAAACATGACAACATAGCCTAACCAGCCTTAAGATTATGCTGGGTCATGTGATCAATGATTTAGGTATAAACAGAACCCACGGATGGAAATTCTTAAAAAAAAATCAATGGGACAGCTAAGTTACCAATAAATCAAGCAGTCTTTCCCGCCAACAACGCTCCTCCACCACTTACTCCCCGCCTGACAGAGCTGAGGGCTGGCCTTTTAGTGAAGACTCCAGTATGTGCTGCTGCCTTCTGCTCTGGTTCCGATGTTTATCCACTTAATAACTAGCATTTGCAGAAGGTCATGTTCCCTTGGGCCTACCTGACAAGGTATATCCCCTATAACTGGCAGGTAAGTAACCCCAAAGGTAAATGAGGAGAAACAGCTCTCTCTTTGAGCTTGACTTCTTTGTAAAATTTAAAGCAGACTCTTCTGCATTTTTCTTATCATACCTGTTGTTCCAGAGCAAATCTCTTCATCATCTTTTCCTCTGGGCTTATGTTGCTATTGTATTCCCCAAAGCGTTTATCTGTAAATATATTGGACTTATCTCTTTCTTTGTACTCCTTTAGTAAAGTCTGCGTACGCTGGGGGGGAAAAAAAATCAAACAATTTTTACAAAAAAATCCCTCAATTGCCCCTAACGGGAGCGTCAGAATGGTGTGTATTTTAAAGTTCAGAGCTGTGTGCTGTGAAGGTCAAAAGTCTAACCACACTATTTTTCATCCACAATAGGTCTTCCCTAGTAAGAATAGAACTTTGAGAAGAATTAAATCAACTCATTTTCAGTTAATGGGATAATTAGTTTCCTCTTTAGAGTCTACCTGGTGCTGAAAGAAAGGAAGGGCCAAAAGCATTAACAGTCAGGCTATGCTGAATTGCTCTTTCGGCTGTCACAGCTGCCTCAGGATTTAAAAGTGTTCACTCAGGCCTGATTCACTTGGAAAAACAGAGTAAGTTTGGATTCTTTCCATCATGGAGGGACGGTTATTTCCACTGAAGGTACTCCTAAGAAATGCAGAGTTATGCTTTGCACACGACATGAGGTCATAAAATGAGCTTATCAAATGAGGGAAGTTTGTACCTTATCAACAAGGCAATATTTTAAACTCAGAATTCCAACAACTGTATCAAGAATCAAGTAATTTAGTATTCTCCCACTAGCAGCAATTAATGAGTTCAATATTATTCAAGGCTGGCTTTCATTGGGGTTGAATCCCCTAAAGCAGAGATTAGACAGAAGGGCGTGAGGAATGCCTGTGGCCTCCAAGACCTGAGCTGGCTGCAGTAGGAACTTTTGCCTA